AAAAAGAAAAAGCAAATCCTTCTGAATGAAAAACGTATCCTTGTTTGTGAACTGAACCAGGTAAGGCAGAGACTGGTACATTTTTTTTGGCATTTCCCGACCCAAAAGTCAATAACAATTGACACGGTAGCGGAATTTCCACATTCCAGTTTCTTGGGACAAACACGATGTCGGTGAGTAAATATTTCATTTCAATATATATAAATAAAAAAAAAAGACTTGATGGCCGTAAATAAAATCCGTTCTCTAAAAAAAAAAATAATGCTAAATAATAAAAGAACCCAAATATACAGTGAATGCAGCAAAATGGAGATTAACCAAGAATTTTGATTGTCAATTACCGCTTTGCATCAGACCAGTAAAGGAGTACGAAAGAGCTCTTTGTGCGTCACCGGTAGGGATAGAGCCTAGGTCCTTAAGATTTGCTATCGGATGCCCTAAACACCTTGAAAAAGTGTCCTATGGTGCTTAGGGCATCATCTCACAAACCCAAAATTCCCAGATTTTACCTCAACCAGCCTCGTGTGAGTATCTCTCTTATACTCCTCCACAAACCAACCATCAGAAATTTAGAGGAAAGAATAATCAGTTTAAAATAGAAAGAAAAAAAATTTCATAAGGAAATTCGCTGTCAGTCGTGTTTGACCCCAAAACCCGAATAATTTCTTTTTCTTCCTATTTCTCAATTAACTTTTAAGGTAATTGTTACTAAAAAGCTCTTTCGTCAAAAAAATAAGTAAATAAATAAAAAATAAATAAAAATGAAAAGTAAACACAAATAAATTAAATTAAAAATAAAAGATAAATAATTTTAAAAAAAGTAAAAAATTAACAAATAGAAAATAAAAATTCAAACTAATTGAAAAAAATTAAAAGTTAAAAAAGTAAGAAATTAAAAAAATTAAAAAAATTAAATAAAATAAATAAAATACTAAGCTTAAAAATGAACTAATATTTAAAAACGGATGTTCGATTTAAAAATAAAAAAGCATATATTGAGTGATTTATTTTTCCTTTAAAAGAAAGTTATTAATAACAAAAATATTTGTCAAACCTGATGAATTTTAATACGTATGACAATAGTTTTTTTTAAATATTCAAATGTTAAAAACTTAGGATTATTTTTTAAATTTTGAGCTAGCTTTATTATCATTGGATAGAGATGGATAAAAGTTAACCTAACAGTTATGGATAAAAGTATTTACAAATATTATAAAAGAAATTGGAATGTTATGACGAAAGAGCTTTTAAAAAGCAGCCTCATGAACGAATTTCCTCCGATCATTTGAAAATAAATCACATCTCTTACAACAGGCATGCCAAACTCAATCTCTTATGTAGGCCACATTAAGTACCAGAGCAGATAAAAATACGCAAAGAAAAATATACGTATAAATAATAAATATGTAAAATATCTCGTCAATGTACGTAATAATAAAATAATTAATATAAATATATTTGAAATTTTAACTATTATACTCATAATTTTACAAATTTTCTACCTACGAATAATAATTATTCGTGATCCAGTTATTAATAACAACAATATTATGCTTGAGCTAAAGAAATGGATGCATTTTAATATTAATAGTTAATTTTAATCAAAACTGAATACTTTGAGTTTAGAAAAATACCATTTCAGAATTTTGTTAAAAATTTGAAAATGAGTGAAGTTTATGAAAATGTGAAATAAGTTTTTCTTTTTTTTTTCTTCATTCTTCGTGAGCCCACAGTTTGTAACTGACTTTTGAGCGGCTGGTTTGACATGCCTGTCTCACAACGGTGAAAAATAACTCACAGTGCTCAAAAGAAGAAACACCCTGAATATTTTTTGATCTAATAATCAGCTCTTCACATTCTAGGACTCACAGGAACTATTCGATCGATTTTGCTCACATTTGTATTTTGTCACGTAAAAACGCATTCTTTGAAATGATGTAAAAATTGAATATCTTACAATTCTAAATATTTTTGACTGTTATTAAATTAGAAATATATACTAAATATTTAATTTTGCATGGAATTTTCTTTGGATAAACGAATTTTATAATTTTGTGTCAAAATGTTTCAATTCGTTTGAAAAGTTCTCGAGATATGGCAAAATAGGCAAAGAATTAAATTAGCATTCTGGAGTCAAAATTTTGGACTGCTCTCCAGACCAAAATATTTCGACCCCTATTTTCAAGATTACACCTTATATTTTGGGGGTCAGAAATTCGAATCCATGGAAAAAAAGGCATGCTAATTCAGAGAATGTACGTTTATGTCTGATTTTGTAATTTAATATCGTCTGCATGAATTAATTAGCATATTTGAAATGACTCTCTTGAACCATTAAAATTGAATCCTAGAACGTGAAGATCCAACTATTCGATCAAAAGTTATTCAGAGGGGTTCATTTTTTGAGCACTGTTCCACATAGAGAAATGACAATTACTGTCACACACATCCAAGAAAAAATTCTATTTTGCATGACAGTATAAAATCAGGTAATACATTTTATTTTTGTTTATTTGATTATATATTCCAACTGCAAAGCCAAGTTCTAAGTCTAAAATAATAATGATAAATAAGTAAATAATTATGCCATCGCATTAATTTCAAGAGTTTTATTTTGTTAAGTTATTAAAATAAAACGTAATTAAAAAATGTTTTGAGATACTTGTGAGAGAAATTCCTACTTTTTAGAAAAAATCGATCAGCTCGTGCTGCCAACCAATTTTTAATTTGTAGCTGGAGTCATTAATAACGTCCTGAACAAAAGTGTTTTTTTTTTCCTTTAAAAATTTTGAAGGTTTGTTTCGATTATAAATAAAAAGAAAAATTGTTTGATGTAATGTACAAAAATAATAAATAAATAAAATTCTATTATTTGAAGAAGTAATTTTCAAATAATGCTTAACGCACTTATGCATTTCGTCAATATCTAAGTCTAATGTTCAAGAAAAACTTCACATTCAAAGGAATATATTATCAATTCAACTTAATTTACACATTCTTATATAACTTTTCAGAATATTTTGAACAAAGAAGTTATTAATGAGCCAAATATTCATTAATCACCAATAACAAATAAGAACAATAACAAGATCAGTAGGCACAATAATATTTGTTGACAGTATCACATAATTTCTAACTGTTTTTTTTTTTTTTTTTGAGACACAGCAAAAGGTTGGGTAATTNAAAAAAAAAAAAAAAAAAAAAAAAAAAAAAAAAAAAAAAAAAAGACTAATTAATGTGTTTCCCTTGTACATTTTTGCTTTTCGTACATTTTAAAACATACTTGTACTGATTATAATGATGCTTTGGTTTGAAAATTTTCCTGCAAGTATTGAAGGGTGAAAATAGAATCAGATTTACTTTTTTAATACATATTGACAATAACCAGCTTCGGTCAATTTTTTCTATTTCTCTATTATGGAAAAAATTATCAAAGCCGAAATAATCAGGTGTTCAACTTAACGTTACTTTTTGGTTTGCTATGAAAAACCTATTAGACAAAGAAGCTTGAAATTACTAAGGTGAAGAGAAAAATGCACAGGAGGAACGAAGGAATAAAAAGAAAAATTTAACATTCAATATTTAATTCAAGAACTATTAACTCTTGAGCTTTAGAAGAAAAAAAATACCGAACAGATCACTCTAAAACCACTAGAATGCAAAAACTGAGTTAAAAATTGGAATGTTGTAAGGACCATATCTGTTTATGAACTTTAATTGTTTTTTTTTCTCTTTCTTTTTTAACGAAATCCTCATTTGCTTAAAATGCCTTTTTTGCAATTTTTTTTCTCATTTGCTTTTCTTTAAGTTGCATTTTATTTTGCAACGCAAAAACTATGAGACTTCTATTCTAATTTGTTAGAAAGTTATTAATATTTAAAAATCTTCTTCTTTTTCTTTTTTTTTTTTAATTTTTTTACTTTTTGTTTTTTATGCAACGTTTAATTTTGCCTTTCGAAAACTATAAGACTTATAAAACTAGAAATTGCGAAGTAAATAAAGGTCGTTGAAATAAAAAAATTTTTTGCTAATTCAACTATTTGTTCGAGAATTTATTAATTGTTGAGCTTGTAGTAAAATAAAACTATGTTTGTTGATGTACTACCCAATGAAATGCAACTACATATTTGAAATTGTCTGAGCATAGAAGATTATTTCAAATTTATCAGAAATGTAATGTTTTTTTTTTGTTTTTGTTTTTTAAATTACAAGTAGCATGAACGTTTTAAGTGTTTTTCTTGTTTAATTTCTTGTTCAAGTACATTTGATTATTTTTTAAATCCAGGTCTTTCATTTCGAATACCATCTTAGTAAAATGTGTTTACAAAATTATAATGATAAATATTTTATAAATAAAATTATCTTTATCAACTTTTAAGAAGAAAAAAAACATAACAATGAAGAATGAGAAACAATCATGGTGAGAGGAGTGAAAAAGGGGTGAAGCCTCCTAGAAACGCTGCATTTTTGCATTCAATCTTGACATAAATGTAAAATTATTTCTTTTTAGCCGATAATATAAACGTCATAACATTTTTTATTTTAATGTGTAAAATGTATTGCATTATAACTTAATGATTTTTTTAACAAAGTAACTATTTAAATAATTTAATGGTTGAAAAGTTATTAATGACAATATTTTTATTTCTTCCAAAGAAGATTTATTTCGCTAGTTCAAATGATATATTTTTCTAGTTATCATGTGACTTATTGATTTATTGATTGAACTTATATTAATTATTGATTGAATAAATTCAGTCTCCTTCAGCTGAGAAGTCTTTTCCGTAGTTCAATAAATTATTCTCCACCACGTTTGCCAAAGATTAACAAAAATTGAAATGAATCGGATTAATATTTCTTTTGTGTTTCTTCTTTCATACTATTAAACCAGAAGACATTGATAAATAAAAATTGAAAATAAATAGAAAAAGTAAAATAATCTTAACAATTTTAGTTTTAACAAGAAATCAGTATACTCAAAAGAAAAGATTATGGACAAATTTTGGTTCTAAAAAACTTCGTTGATGAATCTAAATTTTTTATTAAAACTCTTATTGATATCCAATAGCACTTAAAGTACCAGGAATATATATAATAGAATATTGTGAAAGAAGTTTCTAACTTATGATGCAATGAATACGAAATACAATATTTTGATAACCAGATAATGTAAAACTGTTACATACAATTTGTTATGGTTTACACTCACTAATTTAAATCAAAACACTAAATCAAACAAAATGCTTCACTTTGAAGATAAAATACTTCTACAATGTCACCACCAATGATCACCTCTGAGGGCGCCATCCACAGTCGACACTCTAAAATTAAATATTTTCATACCTTAATAATTAGGAACCATATCATTTTAAGAATTGTAAAAATTATATAAAAATACTGCATTGAGTGTTTCAAATGATTTACTGCTTATGTTACTGTGAATTTCCGAAATCAAGAGACTATCGACTTTTACCGGCGAATGTTAACAATCACATAGATGCTTTGGTGAATGTCCAAAATATTTGTTATATCCGATTTAATACTTATTTTATTGGCTGATATTATTATATTTATTCTGTATTTTAATATCTGCTGAGCATAGATTAGGAGATACATCAGTGTTCAGAGTACCGGACAAAAATATTCTGTATTTTAATATCAGTTGAGCATAGATTATGAGAAACATCAGTGTTCAGAGTACCGGACAAAAGTATTCTGTATTTTAATATCTGTTGAGCATAGATTAGGAGAAACATCAGTGTTCAGAGTACCAGACAAAAGTATACCGGACAGCGGCGCTGGACCTTAAAAAAAATCAGTGTAGGGTAAACCGGGCAGTGTCACTAACTCGATCTAATATATATATATATAGTTTCAATTCGTNTATATATATATATATATATATATATATATATATATATATATATATATATATATATTACCAAGGCGACAATGTGATTGTCAACATTCACCGGTGGAAGTCATTCACAGTAGCACTTACAGTTCAGACAGCATCTTGAAGTGCAAAAGATTAAATAATCGGGCAATACCTCATTTAATATTTCATAAGGTAAAATTAAGTGTATTAAAATTTAGAAGACATCAAAGGTGCAATTAATATGCTCATTAAAATATTCATAACAAGCCAAGATCTCTTGGCAAGTTACATTTCAGTCAAATTAAGCTTCTTTTTGAAATGTCTCATAAATATCTAATTCAAAGAAAGAGACTGTAAATCTCTTTACGTAACGAAAGAAAAAATTGGAGGATATGTAAATTAGGGGTAAAAAACATTAGATAAAAAAGTAAAAGCAAGAATTTTTGATGCTCAAAATTTTTTCAAGAAAATTTACTAAAGCTTGAATGCTCACTGATAAATTTAAAGTCAGCACAAAAATCAATTCTTCTTAATATGTAAAAAAAATAAAAAAATACTTTTATTCATCATAAAATTATTGTTTAATAAACGTTAACACTTGAAACTTAACTTTATTTGAAGAAAAAAAATTAGAAAGCACAAAAATATCAGAAAAAAATAATTTTATTTTTGATTTATTGATGTTTTTTGTATTAATGTTTTTTTCTCATCTTATTAATAAATCAAATTATAATAAATGCAACTCTAAATTTTTATAACCAGTATGAATATTGATTTAAAAAATATAAAAACAATATTTTTTAAAGGAACTAAAAGGGGAAATTTTTGTCATTCTTAAAATGAAAAACCTAAGTTTCAGTACTTTCGAAAATTGTGTGAGCGTGGGTTGCGTCTTTTTCACTCACTCTAAAAAAAAATAAAAGAATTTAGAAGAAGTTCAATTAAAGTTTTTAAGACTTACGTTCTTTCGTTTCGTTTCATTATAATATAGGTTTAAACGTTGCCTCGTGCTTCGTATATATGTTTATGCATCTTACAATTTCATAAGTTTTTACTATGTTTCTTTTCGATGACAGGATTCCAGTTTCTAACACTGAACGCTTGTTCATATTAACTTTATCATGCATAAAATCTTCAGTATGGCATGATTTTGGAACTTACCGACATCTCCTAAAAAAGCCTTCTCCCGGATTAAAAAGAAATTTGATCTTTTAGTAGTCCGAACGTTGGTACAACTATCTTATTTACCCCCCCCCCACAGCGAATTTTAATAGTCTGGATGTTGTGACATCTTTCTTATATTTCCTACACTGTTCGTCATGTCGGATTACTAGATTGATCCATGATTCTTCCATCTAGGTGGTGTTGAACTAAAGAGATACAAGCATCCAATAGTATACACAAGCAATTAGTAGCGCAATGCTCTAATTTTTGAAGTAAAAAAAAAGAGTACAAAACCGCGGTACATTAAAAAAAAAAAAAAAAAAAAAAAAANCAAAAAAAAAAAAAAAAAAAAAAAACTTTGATGTAGCAATTTCTTTCAAATGCTTCAAACGTTTGTTTAGTGACAGTAGATTACATAAATTTAATACAGCCGAATCTCGTTAAGACGAGAACGCTTATCATGAATTATTGCTTAAGACAAAGAAAAACAGTTTTCTCCTAACGTTGTCTTAGAAAAGAATAATTCTTGAACACGTGTGAGTGGATGGACCTTTGCAGGTGCCAACTTTGGAACCTAGACCTGAGGAAAGAGAAAAATGACTTTGTCGTTCTTTCTTTTTTTCACTTAATTGCTATGGCGTTGTTGATTCTATTAAAAAAAATCCCTTTTGGTTAAAAAACTTAAGTAGGGATATTAGTAATGAGACTATTTCATTTTTTATTGCATTTATATTTTACAGATATCCTTCAGCTATTTTTTTTTCTTCCTTCGAATTTTTTTTTACTTTCTGATTAATACGAATTCAAAAAAAAATTGCTATCTATAGACTTCGTTTAAACAAGGTTTGACTGAATTATCAATTTTAAAAATTTGCTTTTTCTTAGAAAAATTGTTATTTTAACCTAATCAATCGAAATACATTTTGCTTATCCTAAAATCGCTAATAACTAAATTAGGTTGCATTTGATCAACACCTGAGAGCATTTCAACAACAATTTATTAACATATATTTCAGAATAGAAATTAGTATCACTTCTTACCTTACGAATACCATCTTTCGTGATTCCTTTCACGTGCCTGGTGTCTCCTAAAAAAATATTTTGGTTAAAGTAACTATCTTCTTCAAAATTTAAGTACAAAAGGTCCAACATGCATTTTATTTTTAAAAATATTGCATTGCTTCTTATGCCAATGGTTTGACAATGGAATCAACAATGAATAATTATTATACTAAAGTCATAAGACAACACGGGTATATCATTGCAAACAAGTAAATTTATAGCACATATGCTGTATATATTAATGATGAAGGCATTAAATGAACCTTATTAATTCAATAAGTGTTATTCTAGTATATCTAACTCTTTTCGTAGCAATCACCTTCGATGATAATTATTTCATATCTTACTATTTTATTTAATACTACAGATCCACCATATCAAACCATTTCAGAATACCACAAGCAAAGATACAATTTTTAAGCAAGCATCACGTGATGATCGAATTCTGATGACATTAATTGGACAAGTTCCAACTACTTATTTGAAACCTTAGCAGTTGTAGAAATTTTAATACTTATAGGATGTTATAAATAAAAAATTATTCAAAAAACTTACTTGGTGAAACTTTTAAACAGAATTTAAGTAGATCCCACGGGGACGTCGTCTGCAAAAATGAAAAATACACATAAGAATTTAAATCACGGTATTAGATGCTTATACTAAGTTAATGGATGATTCACTATGAATTTAAAATACGCTATATCTATTTCTGGGTCAGTATAACTTAAAATCCAATTGCTTTTAAAAAAAGTGTTAGCGGAATAAATGTATTTGTTATGAAATTATTTGTTAAGGTGCTAATATTTCAGCCTTATATGAGAAAAAAAACGTGGTCTGGCATACATCAAGTTTAAAAAGTTTTTGAGTACATAAAATACACACAAAAAGTACATAAATATTATCTTACTCAATAATATCAGTGTTTACGAGTAAACAAAAGAAAATGAGAGAGAAAGTAAATACTTACACAAAGTGATCAGGAGAAAGGACCTGCAATGCAATCATGATTCTTTAGATATAGAAATTTTTATTATGAAAGGAAATTTGAAATCAATAAAATTGTAAGATTAAACATTGCTCTTTAAAAATAACAGATATGTCATATTCAGTAAATAAAGGTGGTTATCAGAAGTGCGTCACATGTATTACTAGTGACTAAGTGTTAAGTGTAAAGAATATTGCAGTATTTTTGTAGTTAATTATGTAGAAGTATCAAACTTTTCTACTAATATATAGTACTTCGCGAATTCCAGAGATACCAAGAAGAAGTAAAATTCTAGAAGTTTATAAAAGGCTGCAAACTGCTTTAAAACAATTAAGTTGTTGCCCAAACTGTTCTCCAGTAAACCATAAATAAGGGCTAATAGCAGGTAACTACCCCAACATTGTCATTCATATAAGAGAAAATTATTTGATTACAAAAAGTGTTAACAATGGTTAAATGTCAGACTCGAAGATAGCGCACTTACAGCGTTGCAAACAAGTCCCACGCTGTTGTGGAATATCTTTCTCATTGAATGAATCCTATTATTCTAACATAATTTTTTTAATAGATATCGTATAATTTACCATATCAATCATTTCAGCCTATGACGAACCAAAAAGATCTGTCAATTACAAGGCATTCGGAGAAAAGTATGATAGATAAATAATTAAAAACGGTGTTACTCAGTTCTAATCTTTCTATCTAAACCTACTGCGAGAAAATTAGCTTGAATGGTAATTATATCCAAATTCTTAATGAACTTGTTAATGAAACTCAAAGCATACTACGAGCAAGCATTTATCCTTAAATGAATTTAATGCAGTTAACTATTATTATTTGACTAAAAAGAAATCACATGATGTGATCTTCTATGAACAAAGCATTAACAGATATGTTAAGCTGAATGAAACTAATATAAGTTATCAATAAAATTCTCATCAATTTGTTTTTAACTGTAAAGTTTTTTCTTATTGTTATATTACATCTTTTTGTGTATAGATTCATTTAAGCTGAAAGCGTCTACCGCTACAAAATGCCAATTCACTTCTATATAAGACATGTTAACTCGATTCTATGTTGGGGTACCTATTCATAGATTGACATTGTTGATAATCCCCACATGGGTAACCTTCGGATATGACGTGAACATGCCTATCTTGACAGTAACGCACACTTCGATCTGAACACGCCTACTTCGATGGATGGTCCACATTGAACAGTTGACTTGCTACTTGTGACTGCGACATTATCCCCCTCCTCACGCCGTTGCTACTCAGTCTCGATCACACAAAACATACACACTCGACTGCTAAAGGCAACACAGGAGTGACCACGACAGTGAACTTAAAAAGTACGGTGATCTTATTACAGCTCTCCCTGCTTTTCACAAGATAGCAACGAATCAACTAGTGGTATCCATTCATCGAATTCTATCACAGCTATAATTCTGGTTTGGGAGTACTGTAGTGTCTCTACCACTACAAAAGTACAATGCCTATTCACTAGTTATGTAAGTTATGTTAACTCGATTGTACGTTGGGGTACTTTTTCATAGATGTATGCTGACATTGTCGATAAATGCTATCCCCACAGTATCTTTGAAGATTTTTTTATTATTATTTAAGTCCGTAAACCTTCTAAAATTATTATCTTTCAAACATGGCACTTCATGACGAAATAAATATTTAATAGTTAAACCTATGAGGTGAACGAAATTTTCAACCAAAGTCGATTTCAGTAAGCCAGAGCGAACAATATTAATTTTAAATATTATTTTCTTCCTTTTTTTTCCAATTCTGGTTTTCTTACTCACGTCAATAATGATACTAATAATAACAATGATGTAAAGTTATGCTTAGAGGAATCGAAAATCCATAAAAGTACAGTAAAAATAGCTTTAAAAGCTTGAAAATTCGGATAATAACAAAACGGCTTAATTGTATGTCTTGGCAATAAATTATACAACGTTTATTTACTTACCTTTTTGTAAGGGTGGTACCTTTGAAAATATAGAACTGTCACTCTCAAGGCCGCTTTGTTTACAAGGCTTTGAAGATTTTTCTTCAACTCTACGAAGAAAAATGGTTAGAATATTAACAATATGAAGAAAAATATAAAAATTTTGGTATTAAATTCTATGTATAAAATAGTATAATAAAAATAGGCGCAGCGTAACGTTAGACGTAATATATACAAAAAGTTTTATTAAATAATAAAGTATGTGTAATGCAGGATAAATCTTATTATTGTAATAAAAATAAGAGATTTGCATAAAAAGCATTATTGAAGGAAAATAAAAGGCTACGTCTCGCGTTAATATGACACGGCAGGCAAATACAAATGTGTAGATAGTGATTCTCAGACAAACCACATGTGTTTGTTAAAAATACTTCCCATCATGCTTCTGAAACTGCTGCCTTTCAAATAGCTTAGTTCTTTTTCATATTAGATTTCTTATCTTTTCTAGTTTTTATTAATTATACTTTTGCTAGTTATCCAATTGCTAATTTTGAATACTGCTAACGCAGTTTTTTTCCAGATCGCCTTTTTAACTGTCGAGCTCACTATGAGATCTTCTAACCTATAGAGCAGCAAACAAATTAAGATATTGGAGTAAATTCATTGTAGAATGCAACTTTGAAATTTAAAATTTTGAATTGTATAAAAAGTTAAAACATGGTAAAACGCATTGTCTCAATCAAACGTCACATTTCATAACGGAAAAACAAGAATCATTACTACCATTTTGATAGTTTTTTCTAAACAGAATCACAGAGTGTAATCTTCAACTGTGACATTAAACAACTCAAAAACAAATGTTTTCTTATTTAAATCGCTTATCAACATCTTATCACTACTACAGTTGGGCAAAATAAATCATCTAAGTGGATCATATCAATAGAATCAGTTGTTTTTATCGAAATAGATTTAAGCTATAATGAATAATTGTTTCTTAAATTTCAGTTAGTTTTGTTTCATAATGATAGTATGTCATACAGATTTAAAAATTTCTTGTGAGATTAAATTAAAGTTAAGTTTTTCCAATTTAAGAATTCGATGAATCCAGATAAAAATTAAATATGAAAAAATAAACATTTCTATTGTAGTTTTTTAAAATTTACCATAGTTAAAAGTCTTCATAACAATTAGCAACATATACAATATAATTGTACGAAAAATATAATAAATATATTTAGTTGCTTGAAAGAATTTAGCAATGAGAAAGAATAATATGTATTTTTTTCGTTCGACATGAGTTAAAAGAAAAAATAGTCATAAATAAGTAAACTTTTTTCTAATTTTTCGCAATTCCGATTTTTTTTAAAGTACTTGATTCGAATCTCGCAATGTGAAACCGTTCAAGTCATGTGATTCGTATCAATGGTTCAAATCAAGTGATTCAGATCACTGATTCGAATCAAATGATTTAAATCATGTGATTCAGATCAATGATTCGAATCAAGTGCTTTGAATTGGAAATTCAAATCATGCGATTTAGATCAGTGATTCGAATCAGGACATTTGGATCAATGATTCGAATTAAGTTACTCAAATCACTGATTCATATGAAATGATTCGAATAACTGATTCTTATGAAGTGATTTAGATCAGTGGTTCGAATCATGTGATTTGGTTCAATATTTGAATCAAGTGATTCAGGTCAGTGATTTGAATCATTGATTTAAGTAACTTGATTCAGATAACTGATTTGAATCACTCTTCGAATCAAGTGATTCAGATCGGTGATTCGAATCACCGAATCAATTCAGCGCTGATTTAAATCATCGAATCAGTACCCACCTCAATTCACTTCACTATCTCAGATCAAGTGAAATTCTTCTGAAGTAGATTCGCCATCTGAGAATGCATCGCTTGCTCATCTTATTCAAAATAAAATTACAATTGCATTTATGCTTTAGGTTCCAAAGGCATAGTTTCAAATCAAAAAAAATGTTTTCAGAAATAAAACAAAGTGAGATGCGTTATACAATTTTTAACATATAGGTACATAACTGCATTTAAAAAAAAACTTTCTCTTGCGAATAGTTTTTACTAAACTGAATTAATTGGCGCAAATAAAAAAAAACTTTAAATTTGGCAAAATTATTCTAAGACTAAAATTCGTCGAATCAATTAACATGTTCATATTTCCTAAGCATTTCTGAAGAATTCTTCAAAATTTTATTTTGTTTCATCTCAATAGGCTTTGAGGTATACCATAGATCAGTTTACTACATATTTTAACAAAATGAAACTCTTTTCAGATAGAATTTTAAAAAAAATATATCAGAATAAATGGACAAAGAAGTGAAAATTACTCAGTTTATCATCTTCGCTGATTGCTTCAGTTCTTCCATCTCCTTTCTCAGGTTCATCAGAATGAAGGTCATCTTCATCAACTAAAAAAAAAAACATTGAATAGTTCAAAGACTGCATAAAACACATCCTATATAAATGGAAAGCTATCAATCAGTTGTCATAATTTGTGTCACTCTCCGTAGAGAAAGAACCAACTGCATGACTGCACAATTCTTTAATGTACAGCACACAAAAAACCACGGATCAACCTGAATAACTTTTGATCTATCAATGGATTTTCACATTCTAGGACTCAATATTGTAATGTTTCAAGGGGGTGACCTCAAATATGCTAATTAAGTAGTGCAGTGCAAACTGTATTTTAAGTTACGAAATCAGACTCAAAAACGGACTTTCTCAGAGTAAACATGCCTTTTTATCAACGAACAATGAGGGGTAGTCGTAAACTGGGTAAGAGGGTCCCCATAGTTTGATCAGGCGAGCGGTCCGAAGTTTAAACACCTTAATGTTAAATTTACTCTTTGCTTACTTTGCTATAATTCGAGAACTTTTTTATTATATTCTAAAATGAACTTTCAATCATAAAATTCGTTTATCCAAAGATAATTCCATGCAAAAAAGTAATAACTTTTAGCAAATATTCATAATTATTTTATTTCAGAAGGGTCGAAACATTTTTGAATCGTAAGGTATAAAATTCTTTGCATAATTTTAAAGAATGTAATTATACGCAGAAAAATGCAGGCAAAATCGAATAATTCCTGCGAAATCGAATTTTACCAAAGTCGTATATTTTAAACGCGAGTTCTTGGGAACTATTCGAACGATTTCGCTCACATTTTGTATTTTGCCATGTTAAATTGCACACTTTAAAATTACGCAAAAATATGTATAGCTTACAAATTTTTTTCGACCCTTCTGAAATAATAATAAATACTTACTAAAATCAATTTCTTACTTCTTTGGATAAAAGAATTTTATAATCGTGTGTAAAAACTTTTTAATTTACTTAAAAAATTCTCGCGATATGACGAAATGTGCAAAAAGTCAGATTAACATTAAGAGGACCAAACTTCAGATCGCTCTCTTGACTAAACTATGGGGACCCTCTTTCCCAAAATGCGGCTACCGCCCATTTTTTTGGGGTCAGTAGTCCAAATCCGTTGGGAAAAAAAAACTATGTTTATTCGGAGAAAATACGTTTTTCTGTATGATTTCGTAATTTAAATTATCGTATGCACTTATTAGTAAGCCTATTTGAGGTCATCCCTTCGAACCATTAAGAATAAGTCCTAGTACGAGAAGATCCGATCATTAGATTAAAAGTTATTCAGGGGTTCCTTCTTTTGGGTCACTATACATTAAAGTAATGTTTATTTTAAATACAGTATACTCATCTCAAAGTTGAAGGGAACGTTAAAAAAAGAGTTAGCGATAACAAGATCTAGATAACAAGTTCAGATATGTTCTAAAAAGTAGCAAAATATGTTCTAAAATAGGACTCCAATAAATAGAATCATAAAACATAAGAATAACAACTAATAATATGTGCAATGATAGTTGACTATAGGTCTAAATACAGCAATCTTAA